ACATTTGTAAGTATCGTCAGGTCACCGCGACCATGAAATATAACAATGTTTTTCGTTTGTTATCCTGTTCAAGATTCGCACAAGCTTTATTGAAAGCAAGTGAAAACGGCAATTTGACAAAGCCGACTTATGGGCTTCCAAAATTAACGATACTGTTAATCACTGTTTTTCGCGTGTGATTTATTTTCGAATAAATATTATTTGTCTTTCTGGATGGCATTCAAATTGATTTGGTTACCGGTATCGGAGTTTTGAAGAATCCAGGTCACCAATAGTTCACCATTCGCGAATATTCAAATGAAGAATTCCTGAAATCTAAGTGATCTACAGAAGTCAAAAACTTTACAACAACTACAGTAACGGAGAAATACTCCTGCTATTTCTTAACAAAACACAGCATGAAAATCATGTATTTTGATTTCTAAAAATTCTATTCTGATATGAAATTTCAGGGATATTGACAGAAAGTTTCCATAACTACTCGGTACACTTTTCTCCTACAGGCCTGTTCATGGATTCCATGGGTTCATGGAAACCCTGATGGTAAAGATGTACACTCATTGTATAGGTAACACGTCAAATTTAATTGCTTCAAAAACGTACCAATCAGGTGTCAGTCCTTACCACTTCGTCGGTTGGCACTAAATCCGGGTACTGTATCAACAGAGAACATACTTTTAACGAAAGAGAAGTGTTAACCTGGAAATTTGTTCCCCCAACCCCACCTCCCTGGAATGTTTCTAATTTGCCTCTGCTTCACGACGTGATATAGAGGACAAAGAAAGAAGAATAGCATAAACATCTGAAACATTAAATTATTTACTGAATGCGTCATCTTCATAGAAAAACCCTGAAAACTAACATTTAGCAATGCATTCTGAATGGTTCGTGTTCAGTCTACATCATCCCATCAGACATTGAAAATTGTAGCTTTAAAATGGGCTTATCAATGAGTATGACTATTGAACTTTGAAATAGAACATCGAAAGACTTGATATATTGGCAGGTGTTTTGTAATGATCATCAGGATTATTACAGTATACATTGGAAGAAAACAGAAATTTTTTTTGCGCGAAGCACAAACTCCTTCAATCTACAACCTTTTGTACCTCTGAAAGATTGTTATATATGGCGATTCGGCGATAGCGGAGAGCAGCATAAAATGTGCAATCTTCTTGTTGACATTATAGAGGATATTTCTTTCTATGTAATACAGTTTATTGTTCTATTAATCTATTTATCTATTTGCCAGATAAAAAGTCGAATTTCGTCATAGCATGCGTCACGAAACCAGGTCAAACGTTACAATGAACGAGGACGTCACTGGTTTACGTACGCATGCGTATGTTTAATCTAAACATTGAAGAGAAGTTGTTAATAATTTATTATTGACTAATCAACACATATGGATATCAAAATGTCAAAAACGCCATGCAGCTGGTTATTAAATAACAGATATATAAACGTATGCCTGTATGTAGTCTGCGATGCACCTGATGTTGACGGGAACTATGATTTGAACTTTATCATTGTTAGACCAAAATGACAGATTTTGTCCGTCTACAGTAGTGAATATGGAAGATCTAGTTATTTATATATACATATTTATATTTAGGTTTTGTGTTTGCCATTTACGGTCTTTCAGGGACGAGTTTACCCTTACCTTAAAATTTAATTTACAGACAAATAAACAGATTTTTACTCAAATTCAGGTGTGAGAGGCAAATAACATGAAAACAGCCATTTAGAAATCAAATTACCAAGGACATCAAACAAAAGATTATTTCTTCACTTCAATACAGAACACGAATCCTAATGTAAGAATTGCTCCATTACTTTAATACAGTACATCCATTTAAAGAGGTTTAAAGAGTTAACTTAAGTCCAGTCTGGATGGTGGCTAATGTATCTAGGTATGTAGGTATGACGAGTCGCCAAACCCCAGCCAGTTTTCGTTTCTCTTCTGAACCGAGGTGGCTCTGTTGACTCTGCATTTCCGTAGAAGACAAAGTTCGCAGTTATTCAAGAAAATACTATTTTGTGGGTATTTGAGTTCATGGATCATCAATACCCGTAAAATCATATAATAAACATAAAAAATGAAATCAATTTTAACATTTATCTGTGGATATATAAATTCGTTCATAGTAGCCACGAAAAGAACGAAAATAACCCGCGCAACAGTAAATGATTTTACGAAAATCTTTTGCGTCGAATCAGTAAATCCCCAACGTCCACTACATGCTTTGTATTAATCAAAATACAGCGACTTGATTGCGCATGCTCGTTTTTAAACATTTCAAACACATCCTAATTAAAGACTTAAGAGTTACCTTCGGGCTTTGACTGCCGTGCTATTGTAAAGCCAATAGCTTTCTTTGCTTAAAAAATGTACATTTTATCTTACAACTTAACATACTTTCAACCCCTTCAAAATGCTCCCTTCCAAATAGACAACTACCTTTCCTTACACTTTTTCCTAATGGATATATATGTATGTTCATATATGACCGTAGTTCGCTATTAAATCTCACACATTTACTTGCTAATTTGTTACACGCTTTTAGAGCATAAAATGATTCACAATTTCATAAACTGTTGGTTATTTCTTATCACCTTTTCCCGTACAAGAAAGGTGTTAGAGCATTTCATTGTATGCTTTATAATGAAACATGCAAAAGCAATGTGTGCGTGATCTGTATCAAGGATTCTCAAAACTACGATTTGTAAACCAATTCTGTTGAAATGAAGTAAATGCCACTTATGGTCAACAACACAATAATGGTATATAGGAAAAACTGCCGTGCAATAACTGGCAATACAGTCATATCAATGTACTTACACAAAGGATGTAACAATTCATCAATGAATTCTCCGTACCCCCCAAAAAATCACAAAATATAAAGTCACTGCAAACAATTATTTGTACGCGTGCGCATACATTGTATCAGGCGATGACGTCAATTGGAAAATGTCATGTCACATTTCTAAGCGCGCAACGGATTTGGGAGTGTGTGGTGTTTTCTTAGTGGCAACATCACCAACAAGGTACACTGTAGGCATTGGCACAGTGGACACACCAAGTCAATTTTATCAGATTTCCACAACAAACAGCTTCTAATAATCAACTCTAAACAGTGACATTTATGTCCTGATTGTACCCAAATGTAATTTCTTTTTTCATCGAAATTTCTGTCTTTGACCTAAGAGCACCTATTTTAAAAAAAAACATCCAGTTTCTCAGACTTTTGGTTTACCACAAGAAGTCTTTTACAGGTTTTAATAAATTTGACCCCTGTGACCTTGAATATGTGTCAAGAATATTCCTTTCTGCAAAATTTGTCTTGCTTCATCACATGAGCCTGCCAACAAGATAAGCATGCTTCTGCATCATCAGAAGTAATCTTAAGTATTGAACAAGTCTGACCCGTGACCTTTAATCAGAGTCAAGGTAATTTTTTTCAGCAAACTTTGTTGACTTTCATCCTAGGAACCTGTCAGCCATAAACAATGCATCTGTGTCTTTTGGTTAGTCAGAGGTCGTTTAAAATTTGACCCCAATGACCTTGCATATGGGTCAAGGTAATTTGTTATTCATAACCTTGGTCGGGCTTCATCCCAGTAACCCAACAGCAAATGACCATGACATTTTGTTTGTTGGTTATCAAGAAGAATTCATTTGAATTGAAAAGTTGACACTAGATGGACAGACAGGCCAGGTGAGTTAAAAATTACTCTCTCATCACCATTGTTTTCAAAGATTTAGCTACAGGTATGGTTGGTTGAGTCATATGCCTGATGTTCATGGTCATCTTGACTTGTCAGTGATGAATACCTGTATCTATTGATGACTTGAGGTTGTAAAGTAGATGAGAATTACATGAGGAGCTACATTCATGGAGTCAAATATCATGACATCAGATAAATATTTTGTTTGGACATTACAGAGTATAACTGATAAGAATGGACATGTAATGTCAACATTACTAGGCTGGATCAAACACCAAAGTGAAATGTTCTTTTCTAGTAAATGTGGGTATTAATATCAAGAAACAATACTGAATTGCAGAAGTTCATTGTGTTTTGGTTGCAAAGGCAAAACTATTTAGTTAAATTTTTCTTTCCTTTCTGTAGGTCAAGGTCATAATCTTCATATTGTCAAACTACCATATATATATTTTTTTTTACTTTGGCCATGGAAGGTTCTCAAAACTTTTTGATTCAGAAATTTTTTTGAAAAGATAAAAATCGAAAATTGTTAAGGAGAAGGGTATTGCTATAGGTCAATGACCTAAGACAAAGTTTCACGTGGTATTTACAAAAGGCTTCAGAAGGACCTTGGGCCAACCTTTGTATGATCTTTATAAGTTGGATGTTTTCCCTTCTTTTCTCTGTTCCTCTTTTTTGCTCATACATAAATGATATTTGAGAATATGGCTTATGGAATAGTGAATAATTATCTGTAACTGTCTAATTCAAGATGTCTGCTGTTGTGTTCTTCTCTTAAACAATTCCAAATGGACAATGCAAAATAAGGTTAGGGACCATGTGGAATCCAGAAATAAAATACTTCTAAGATGCCCTCCTTCTAGCCATCTTGTTCTTCTAGTCAATCAATTGATGAGTCAATACTAGGGACCGTCTACATACGAAATTTGAAATTAATTCATCTGCGACTTTGTGCCTCTTGTGAAATATCATTAAGAAAATGTGATTACCAAATTTGAAGATTGCCGTCTGGAAGCCATTTTGTTTTTCTGATTAGTCTCAATATTAAAAAGACACTAAGATGGACCGAGGGGTACCTACACATCAAATTTAGGAAAGACCCATCGTATACTTACTCAAGATATAGTGATAATTAGATACAGTTAAAGGTAAACGACCGACAACTGACACCAGATGCAAAATTGATTTAAACACTCTACCAATTTATGGTGGGCGTTTTCTTGAAACAGATGGCCACCACTCGGCACAGGTTCAAAATAATTTTACAACACTTAATTTAAGTCAAGTTTATTGTACATCAATAATAAGACATATACTCCAGTACATTTAAAAAACAAACACTGAATCAAATTAAACTATCACATATCACAGGGGCCCATGGTTTGATAACATAAATGTTGTTGTACAAATTCTATCCCCTCCAACCCTGCTGGACTTATATAACCACACACCTTTTGGATATATATATATATACCAATGATGAGAAAAGCAATACTGAAGTTGACAACACCTTTTGGGTGATTCAGTGTTTAACGAGTACAATCAATGATTGCCAAGTTCACTAGCAGCAGTCACTGTATAATGCCTAATCAATGAAAAGGAGTGGTGTGTGATATACACCAACAGACTTATTGCTGTTACTTCTGTAATAGGTCTCTAATGAGCATATACACTAGAAAAGAGGGGTATGTTGTGAGACATATAATAACAGTTTTTACCAAAGGCCTTTCAAAACCACTTTAAAATGAGTCGGGTATGAACTGTTGAACTTCGCACTTAATTATCAGCATGCAAGTAGCGTTCATGTATGTACTGAATATTATGTGAATTTCACAACCCCAAAATCTATAACATGGCAACCTCAACATTTCATGTCAGGGGATTAGAGATGTCATAGTGATAAGGATGGTTGTTTATCAACCGCTAGGAATGAAAAGACTATTTAGAGTATCAGACAGGAATTGGATAATTATCCCAAGATTGCTGTGGACTTGTATACATATTGCTCAGGTTGGCAGATTGTGTTTTAGGATAGTACAGGTTCTTCAACTTGAGAGACAGCATTTAGTAAAGATGTACTTCTTGCTTATAATAATTGGGACTACAAGAATGTGACTTAAAACAAAATTAACGACCTAGATGGTTTTGACATTATATCGCAGAGTATGAGCAGGAAATGCCCTTTACTGACAAAAAGTCGGTTAACTCTGTTAGGATAAAGAGCAACATCACTAAGCATAACACACCTTGTTATCAGAAATTTCAACAACCAAGACTGTATTTATCTAAGATAACCATTTATATAGGTGTCAACACTTGGAATCAATGTATTAGCCAAGTTTTAGCTGTTTTATGGAAATGTCACTGACATCACTAGACATGTCCAGGCATATTTACAGACTTTCTATGCCAGTATGTAAGGTGATTACCAGTCCTGTAAGTCTGAAATTTTAATTACTTCAATATCTCAGATTTAATGGTAACCAAGTTGGATGTTTTTTCCTTTGTAGTATCACATGAAATTTGAAGATCAGAAAGATGTTTGAATATAATATCAATCACTCTCATCCATATCAAGCTCCTCTATCACCATGATGCTACTGCTATCAGCCTCTGCTTCAGAAGGGACATCCGCAAGGCTACCTTTATTGCTTTCAGGTGTTTCAAAAACAATTTTTTTGGAGATCTGCATGTCCTCTGGCATGTCTGAAACATTAAAATATTTTCATGAATCTTAAAGCCATTTCAAACGCATCCCGTTTATTCTAAGGAGTTCATCAACCAGAGATTGGGTTATATAGTAACGAAAATTATCGCAATCAAGAGAAGCAACATACAAAACCATGGGTTCACTTCAAAGATTGTACAAAGACACAAATATTAAAACAAATTTAGAATTACATACATCAGAGTCAAAAAATGAACTAAACCACATCTTAAAAAATGTCAAATTTTAGTATGTGAAGTGTACCAGCCTCATAATTAAATGAATTTCGTAATGTTCATTTATCTGTTAATATGTGGATATAGTAAGGTACATCTACATCCATAATGATTATTGAGACACAGCACTCATAGCAACTGACATCTCACACCTCTTTAGAAACTTTGGTATCAAAATGGAATACATGTAATTATACATCAGGTGTGTTATTGCTTCATCACAATCAAACAAGAATTGCATGTAATTATACATCTTGTGTGTTCCTGCTTCATATCATCAGGATTATACATGTATGTAAGAAATGAATAAAACTTGATGAAGAGCTAATAGAAAACTTTAACATGGCACAATTACTTAACAAAGTCCAACTAACAGTAAACTGTAGGTAAAATTCTGAATCTGAAATGTGGCCATACATACCCAGTAGATATATAAGTAAAAACCACATCTAGTTATGACAGCTTATGTACTTTGACAGAAATAACAGCTCAACAACAAGTTTAACAGAAAATTATAAATTAATCAACAAAGACCAAATGACAGTAAAGTGCAGATATCAGAATCTGAAATGAGTGTTTGGATAGTTGTATATAGAATTAAGTATATTCCATATTTCATAATGAAAGGTTAGAGATAATTTAAGCTAAATGTAGACCTAAACACGAATCATTGATGTGGCAAAAGTAATGAACAAAATCCAATTAACTGTCAACCATTTGTTAAAATCTTAATTGAAAACTTATATAAAACAATTGAGCAGGTTTAGTGATGATATATGTAGCACTTGAAATTTGATTGAACAGGTACAAGCCAACATACACCTACAACTTTGTAGACACAAGTAACTCTGATATGGGAATCTGACGTCTCATCACACAAGGAATTGAAATATTTCCCAATGAAATCATTGTAATGACCTTTAAAATTTTTTATTAACCTGCTTCTCACAAAGTCCTGTTTTGCGAGATTGTCAGTTACCAAAATTGCGCACCAAAATCGTGATATTGGGAATAAACCATTGAATACTAAATTATCTGTAAACCCTAGGCTGAGGGTGCAGGATTGTTGCTACCCAGAAATGGAAAATTTACAATTAAGAAATAGAAATCATCAAGTTTCTCATACAGTTTGGTAGAAAGCTGTTACTGATGGTTTTGTTGTAGGAAAAAATGGAGGTAGACTGCTGATGTTGGTCATTCAGTCAAATGCTATCAATGAATTCAAGACTAAAGTCTATTCAGTATTTGGAACTCTTTTGAATAGATGATATCTATATAATAGGATAAGGTAGCATATAGCCTTAAATTAGTACTTCAAGACATATTTACCATCACATGGAGACATCTCTATCATCAGAGCTTCCATCACATTGTTTAACATAGTGGTGGAGAATGTATCATCTCGCCGGATCCCTAAAGCCTGTCATGGAAAGATTGACAATCGTAAACTTAATTAATAGTGATCTCTATTCAGAATAAATAGACCTTATGTACCCAGCGATAAGTATTACTATCCTTGAATACAGCTTTATCTCATTCAGTATTAAGTTCATAACAACACATTACAAATAAACAGGATCAGGAAACAAGTTGTATGATTGTAAATAAATTTGTTTCCTTGTCTCATTTCTCTTTCATATATATGTCCCATGTGGAACTTTGACATTTGAGTATTTGTTGACCTTCATTATTGAATTCCTGAGTAATTTTCTTTCAAATATCCTGATGTTTTAACAAATCAATGTTGTCATCTAGCCATGTGGTACATATGATTTGAATACTCTTAACACCATTTCATTGCAACAAGTAACTGGGCAGATATACTTAATCTGAATCATTCTGAAATTGTGTTCAGATTTTGAGGAATTTGATCTTGATATTCTCAAAGGTATCTTGATGTTGTTTACAATTTAACGATGAAGTACAGTTTGTTAATATGAGACCAACATTAAAATTACCTTGTCAAAATAATCTACAGCCATAATGTTATTTCCCATCAACACATAACAGTAGCCGATGGCGGAGTATGTAGAGGGGTTCTGAGGGGAGAGAACCTGTGCTTGTCGGTGGTAATCCAATGCTTCTTCATACCGCCTGTACAAAATACACACTTGTTAAATTGACTTTTCCATTACTACCTTCTTCAGAAATTATTAATATGCAATAATTTCATCAGAAATGAAAACAATATTTGAATTACATAGGAAAAATAAAATTTTCTTCAGAAATTATTAATATGCAATAATTTCATCAGAAATGAAAACAATATTTGAATTACATAGGAAAAATCAATTCGAATGAAGTAAAAATTAAAATGTTTGGAAACAAGTCAAATTAAGAAACAATGAAATGAAACCTACAGTTCTAATGGTTGTCTGAATAAACAGATAAACGAAAGACACTTTTGGAAATAGAAGACAATGATGTCTACAGACATCTAAGTTTTCATCTAAGTTTTTCGTGGGTAGGGAGGTTATACACTTGTGTTTAAAATAATTCCAGAAATTATTGCTTTTCCAAACTGATGTTTCCAATGAAAATTGGTTGAAATCCACTTTGATATTTTAGGAATACTAGCTATAATCCTCATTTTGATCCTCACCCCAGTACCCTGGGTCTAATCAACTTTCTGCATATAAAAAAAAGAAATGACTACCCTTCTCAAGTAATGATTCAGACTTAATTAGATTGAAATTCTCCACAGGCTTAAGAGAAGAATAGCATTTTATAGTAAAATTTCTACAAAATTCTCCATTTGGGACCCAACCTGACAGTCCCCAGGGTCTTATAAACTTTTTGAATTAAAAACCTGAAAGATGTTTCAGAATAAATTTGGTTGAAAAATGCTGAGGTGATAAGCATATGGTTTTAAAGCAATTTTAGAGTAATTCTTCATTTGTGGCTCCAACCCCTAGTCCCATGCAGTCAAATTGACTTTTTGAATTTAAGGAATGCCTGCTCATCGCTTCTGATGCTTTAGACCAAAATTTCGAAATATGCTCTGGAGGTGCTAAGGAAACATAGCCTTTCAAAGCAAAGTTTTAGCCTAATTCCCAATTCAGGGACCCTGATTCTCAGTCTCCAGGGGTTGAATTGACTGTCTAAATTTAACAAATAATTGCCCATCCTTAATGCTGTTTCAACCCAAAATTGGTTGAGACAAAAAAGGAAGTTTTGGGTTTTGAAACAAAATGTCAGACACATTCCCCATTTGGCGTTCTGTCACCCATTCCTCAGATGTCAAATCTGTTTTCTGCATTCAAGAAATAATTAATCATGCCTGGTGACGTTTCAACACTACTTCAGATGAAATGTGCTGAGGCATTTGAAATGAGTAATAGTTTCAAGAAAAAATCAATTACCTATTCAGGGCCCTGCCTCCCGTCCTAAATTTATTTTTGGTCAGACGACCTGTTAAACCTGAAAGAACTTTCATACCAATACTGGGGGAAATTTTTTGTTGGAATGGTGTCAGAGTTGAACAAGATACAGCAAAAATTACGTCATTTGTTTGACTACGAAGTATATCTCCTTACTTGAGTTTGCGACATGTGTGTCCGAGGTTGTTAAGGAGTGGCTCCCACTTCTCAACCATCACCTGGTTGCTAACGCATTCTACCTTGGATAGGGCCTCCTTGAAGTAACGATGGGCCTTCATCCAGCTGTCAGTACAGATATGATGTTCAAAACTTTTATTAAAAGGCAATCATTTCATTGTTACATGTTGAAATTAAATGAACTAAAATCTTATCAAATACTGCCATAAACAATTTATCACAAAGTTAAATCCCGGAAGTGGATTTGAAGATTGAAATTTATTGAGATAATTCATGACAGATTTCATCTCATATTTCAATATCGTTCTTGCAACAAAGCCACTGCCATTCCAAAACCTTTGTAGCCTCACAAAATGTACATGTACTTTGTTGTTGTGATAACAATTCCATACACTAATCAAAATTCTGTTCTTTTTTTTCATGATATCAACTAAACACTTGGCAGTCATTAACACTAGTTTATGTTTATCACAATAAATAAACAACACTACAAAGATGACAAGTTAACAAGAAACTGTAAGCTAACCACAGTATTAAGTGTCATGTGTAACGTAACTTCACCACCATGTTAACTGCTACAGGTATAATATATGTGGTACCATTCTAGTACTATTTATACAGAATTACAGGTGTAGATACACACATAATATAACAAAATCATGTGAGGTGATTTTACATATTGCACCTGTAGTTGTTGTATGTGGTAGTGATAAGATTATATCTTACCTCACACATCACACCTGTAGTTGTTGTGTGTGGTAGTGATAAGGTTATATCTTACCTCACACATCACACCTGTAGTTGTTGTGTGTGGTAGTGATAAGGTTATATCTTACCTCACACATCACACCTGTAGTTGTTGTGTGTGGTAGTGATAAGGTTATATCTTACCTCACACATCACACCTGTAGTTGTTGTGTGTGGTAGTGATAAGGTTATATCTTACCTCACACATCACACCTGTAGTTGTTGTGGTAGTGATAAGGTTATATCTTACCTCACACATCACACCTGTAGTTATTGTGGTAGTGATAAGGTTATATCTTACCTCACACATCACACCTGTAGTTGTTGTGTGTGGTAGTGATAAGGTTATATCTTACCTCACACATCACACCTGTAGTTGTGTGTGGTAGTGATAAGGTTATATCTTACCTCACACATCACACCTGTAGTTGTTGTGTGTGGTAGTGATAAGGTTATATCTTACCTCACACATCACACCTGTAGTTGTTGTGTGTGGTAGTGATAAGGTTATATCTTACCTCACACATCACACCTGTAGTTGTTGTGTGTGGTAGTGATAAGGTTATATCTTACCTCACACATCACACCTGTAGTTGTTGTGTGTGGTAGTGATAAGGTTATATCTTACCTCACACATCACACCTGTAGTTGTTGTGGTAGTGATAAGGTTATATCTTACCTCACACATCACACCTGTAGTTGTTGTGTGTGGTAGTGATAAGGTTATATCTTACCTCACACATCACACCTGTAGTTGTTGTGTGTGGTAGTGTAAGGTTATATCTTACCTCACACATCACACCTGTAGTTGTTGTGTGTGATAAGGTTATATCTTACCTCACACATCACACCTGTAGTTGTTGTGTGTGGTAGTGATAAGGTTATATCTTACCTCACACATCACACCTGTAGTTGTTGTGTGTGGTAGTGATAAGGTTATATCTTACCTCACACATCACACCTGTAGTTGTTGTGTGTGGTAGTGATAAGGTTATATCTTACCTCACACATCACACCTGTAGTTGTTGTGTGTGGTAGTGATAAGGTTATATCTTACCTCACACACCACACCTGTTGTTGTTGTTGTTGTGGTAGTGATAAGGTTATATCTTACCTCACACATCACACCTGTAGTTGTTGTGTGTGGTAGTGATAAGGTTATATCTTACCTCACACATCACACCTGTAGTTGTTGTGTGTGGTAGTGATAAGGTTATATCTTACCTCACACATCACACCTGTAGTTGTTGTGTGTGGTAGTGATAAGGTTATATCTTACCTCACACATCACACCTGTAGTTGTTGTGTGTGGTAGTGATAAGGTTATATCTTACCTCACACATCACACCTGTAGTTGTTGTGATAGTGATAAGGTTATATCTTACATCACACATCACACCTGTAGTTGTTGTGTGTGGTAGTGATAAGGTTATATCTTACCTCACACATCACACCTGTAGTTGTTGTGTGTGGTAGTGATAAGGTTATATCTTACCTCACACATCACACCTGTAGTTGTTGTGTGTGGTAGTGATAAGGTTATATCTTACCTCATACATCACACCTGTAGTTGTTGTGTGTGGTAGTGATAAGGTTATATCTTACCTCACACATCACACCTGTAGTTGTTGTGTGTGGTAGTGATAAGGTTATATCTTACCTCACACATCACACCTGTAATTATTGTGGTAGTGATAAGGTTATATCTTACCTCACACATCACACCTGTAGTTGTTGTGTGTGGTAGTGATAAGGTTATATCTTACCTCACACATCACACCTGTAGTTGTTGTGTGTGGTAGTGATAAGGTTATATCTTACCTCACACATCACACCTGTAGTTGTTGTGTGTGGTAGTGATAAGGTTATATCTTACCTCACACATCACACCTGTAGTTGTTGTGTGTGGTAGTGATAAGGTTATATCTTACCTCACACATCACACCTAAGGTTATATCTTACCTCACACATTGTTGTTGTGTGTGGTAGTGATAAGGTTATATCTTACCTCACACATCACACCTGTTGTTGTTGTGTGTGGTAGTGATAAGGTTATATCTTACCTCACACATCACACCTGTAGTTGTTGTTGTGGTAGTGATAAGGTTATATCTTACCTCACACATCACACCTGTTGTTGTTGTGTGTGGTAGTGATAAGGTTATATCTTACCTCACACATCACACCTGTAGTTGTTGTGGTAGTGATAAGGTTATATCTTACCTCACACATCACACCTGTAGTTGTTGTGGTAGTGATAAGGTTATATCTTACCTCACACATCACACCTGTAGTTGTTGTGTGTGGTAGTGATAAGGTTATATCTTACCTCACACATCACACCTGTAGTTGTGTGTGGTAGTGATAAGGTTATATCTTACCTCACACATCACACCTGTAGTTGTTGTGTGTGGTAGTGATAAGGTTACATCTTACCTCACACATCACACCTGTAGTTGTTGTGGTAGTGAGTGTGTTGAATCTTACCATAAATCTTAATTCTACAACACAAGTTATTAATTTTTCAATCCAGAACCACAGTAAACTTACTCCAAATTCTGAAAGGCTATCACTCCCATCTCGTGTAAAACAAACGGGTCTTCTGGTGCTATACTGAGGGCCTGGTTGAAGAACCGCTCAGCAAGTTTGCTGTTATTGGTGAGACCATACTCAAGCCCAACATAAAGAATGGGAAGGTGGCACCCCTTCATCAATTGTGACGCTGTAAAGTAGGCAGCCATCGCTTGGTCATGTTCATTTTCTGTTGCAAATGAGTGACCAAATGCAAGCCAAGCTGGCCCATATACTCTGTCCATGGAAGTAGCTTTACTGAAATATATGAAACAAGAGAAGTGAGACAATTTCTTTATATGATAAAATAGATCTGTATTAATCACATAACTGGAACCAGTGTCATGAATCTTCCTAAACTTACGAAATTTTCCACAACTTAAAATTGCCCATACAAAAACCAATGCATATTTAGAGAAAATTTTCTTAATTCAAGCTTGTTCTCATCTTTCTTAATGCTTTTCTAAGGTAGTTCATATTTCCTTGTTAAGGAATGAAACTGGGGCCTGAGCTGTTCGGTCATAAAATAAAAGTCATGATTATATGATATTCAAATGTCATGTAATCATATACTGATGTGTGATTTATCACCAGATGTCGTGGTTTGTCATTTCATACTGTAATATCATAAATATCATAAAGTACATGTTTATTAACACAGTTGTAAAATTATACATAAGTCATGTCTTGGTGATGTCAAGTTATTATCTCTTTTGAGAAAAAGGTACAAACCCAGTCAAAGTAAGCATGTCTTTTGGGGAGATTAAGTGAGAGAGCTTGTAAATGTTTTTTAAATGTGAGTTAAAAGATGATGAATAGAATGTGACACTCATGTCAACTTATAATATATATTGAATTACCTAAAGGATCATGTCATATCAAATTATTGATTTTTAAAATAATTCTCTACAATATGACATAAAATTATTGTCTCAGTAATGAAATATGTCTGATGATTAATTCTGAAATATTTTACTGACTTTCTCCTAGATATAACACACAAGAATTGTAATCTAAAAGTAATTTATCTTTATATTGAACAAAACAGAAATATTGTACTTAATCAAGGGATTTTTTATGAAGTAATTTACTTTTGATAAGAAAATTATTGATGCATGTATTTCTAACTCAACAACCTGAAACTTCAATGTGCTAATATAGGCCTGTGACAGCTTTCTCAAGAAACAATGGAAACCTCGGTATCAAAATTTCACAATCATGGCTTAGTCAACTGATTTTTATTGTATAATCAAATGATGTGTCCAAGCAGAGAAATATATACAGATTTAAAGGGGAAATCCATTTTTTTTTTTGCTGATTTCCTTATAGATATGAATTATATGATCAATGGGTACATTTGTATGATATGGTAAAAGTAAATGGAAACCTACACCTGTTCACAAACATCACCACTTGTAAGAGCTCCCATTGGTACTTTCTGCCCTACAAATGTAGGTTATAACTACTATAAATATGCAAAATTTTGTACTTTTTATTTAAATGCTGCAAAGACATCAGACTGGTCTATAATATCATGAAATGGTGCCTGATTTGATGACATGAATGTCAGGGTCTGTTAGAATACCAGATAGGTAGGTGATTTGATATGCTGCTGTTGTTTTTGTTTGTTTTGGATGACAAAACATTTGGTGTTTTATCAAGGTCACAATTGAAGTCTGCCATTAAGATAATGTAACCCAAAGGCAAATAATGCAACTATTATTTTTATTGTAAATGATGTCTGAGAATTTTGTGAGTGGTGACATCCAAATTTCAGCCAATTTCTATTTATAGTAAAGATGGACTAGTTTTTTAACCACTAGAGGTAAAAACTTGACCCTTGGAGCATTTAGAACCATGGTGTGAAAATTTTGTTAGTTTCTATTAATAGTATCAGCAACCTTGTTTTTGACTGCGCAAGGTTGGAGGTCGAACTCATACAAGAAGTGATGTTTGTGATTATGTACGTTGAGTTTCTATTTACCAGTTTAGAAATGCAGCCTGTAGAATGGTAACATGAAGATTTATGTTGATTTCTATTTATAGAATCAGTGACCTACTTTTTGATTGCACAAAGTTGGAAGTTGAACTTGTACAAGAAGTAATGCTTGTGATCATGTGTGTGGAATTTTGTACTGATCATTCCAGAAATATAGACAGTAGAGCAATGACATGTAAATTTCTGTTGACTTCTATTTATAGTATCAAAAACCTGGTTTTTGACTGCACAAGGTTGGAAGTCAAACTCATACAAGAAGTGATGTTTGTGACCATGTATATTGTTTTTGTACAAACCAGTTTAGAAATGCAGCTTGTAGAGTGGTAACATGTAAATTTCTATCAATGACCTCTTTTTTTATTGTACCATAAGTCATGTTCATGATGATGTGTATAGGGTTTCATGACACTTGGGAGAGAACTGCAGCATGAAGAGCAATGATATCATTTTAAAATATGAGCAGATGTACATATGGCGTATTCCTATATACTTTTTAAGACTAGTTGCCAAGGTATAATAAACCTAACTGTGAAACAAACAGCTGTTTAAAAAATCAGGATCCCTAGGAATTTTCGTCGAGTAATTATCACAAACAAATTGATAGCATATATATGAGGTCTGTGCCACATGTGAGAAGTACACTTCATGGGGAGATTTCTCTGAACTACCCAGGAGACTTTCTTCACTCTTTTTTATGTAAATATATATCTTTTTCATTTATTATTTTATTATTTCTATTTTTTAATTATTTGTTGTTTGGTATCACTTGTCACTGAGGGTAACCTTACATAAAAAATGTCTGACAGATTCTCACTTTCTGACATTGTGGCAATATCTTGTTGAACTCCAACATGGATGTCTGCATGAGGCCATGACCCCCTATCACCCTCAAAATTGAAGAAGGGAGAGCATTCCAGTACTACTCAAGGTAATGTTAAATGTCAGAATTCCTTCTATCTGTCAGTGTATTTGTTTGTCAGTCTGCTGTGTTTATAAGCTCATCAACAGTCTTAGTATATCTTGAGGCAGAGTCTGTTAGCATCAGTTAGAAGCTACCTTTCTTAACAACACACATTAGGAACATCGTATACAAAAATGTACCATTCATAGTAATTGGGGTAACATGCCAGACATACAACTACTAAAGCATCAGAGGGTCCATTTCTCACTGAGAAAACACACACCTGCCCCTGATAAATACCTTCACACCTGTCTGCAATCAGTTTTGAAACTTTATAAACAGCCAAAATTTGGGAACCAAGGAGACTCGATATATACAGCATGAGAATGTTCAATTCTATACTTGTACTTCTCCAGACTCAGTGATATACTATGATACTATTAACGGACCAACATTTAATTTTGTATTATCAGATGATGATGATGTATTACCAATTATCAATTAATGATGATGATGATGATGAGATGATGATGATAAAGATGATGATGTGATGATGATGCATTTTTATCTGCAAAGGAGAACTTTCATTTGAAGCAATGAATTATCAATCCAATATACTTCTCAAGAAATTATGATACCATTAACAAGAGTTGTATAATGATGGTAGGATGATATGACAAGGAGCAATATGATTGGCTCATTATCTGATGTTGACAGGTTTAAGAACCAGAAATTAAAAACTGGGATAGTTCAACTGAAAATAGTTCAAAGCTGTGACACTGACTACACCATATCATCAGATTATGATCAAATTATGTGAAGTTTTTAAATTAAAATTTGCTGGGGCCACTGTGGCAATTAAAAATTGAATGCCAATTCCCAAAATTTCAACCTTTCCCTCATGTCTAATAAACAAAGTGACTCTAATCCACATGCATATTGCAAGGTTGAAGTATCTGTTTCTTTGTGTTCAGATAAAACAACTAGAAATGTCTTTAAGATATTCCCTTTCATATAAGAACAGAGTACCATATTGTCTGATAAATTTGCAGAAGTTGTCAAATTTGACCTTTTTAACACTTTAAACTTGACCAATGATCATGACCACCTTTATAGGAAATGGATAGAACCTTAAGTTATTACATTATCTTATAAATGACTGCCTAATCTGTTGATCTAATCTCAAAGATATGACACTGATTCAGAGCACATGATGGACGAACAAGGGTAACATCACATAACCTCACTTCTATAATGACAAGAGCATAAAAACCAGCTGTACAGTTTATCCAAATGCGAGTAATCATCACTTACCTGAGATATCTACGGCCTGGTTCAATGTTGTCTGGGATTAGGAGGTAGTAACATCCCACAGCAAACCAAGACACCTAATAAAATCAAAGTACTGAAAGTACTGAAAGCCATAACCTCATAAACATTAAGGAATTCAACAGAGTTTGTTAGACCAAGCAAACAAAGGCTACTAGAAATGTCAAATAGCAATCAATTATTATCCTGTATCTTGATCAAAAAAGACTTTGCAATGGAATAATTTTTATCCTGGTGGAAATGGATCAGAGCTGAGTGTAAGGGTAAGTCAGTAAGACTGATAATACACATTAGTGATATTCCAATAAGGTGTTGAAGTAATACTCATTTGTCTTCCAGTATCAAGAAATAATATTTGAATCTGACCGAGAAATACATGTATTTCCCAAAACCTTGTACCAGATATATCAGACAGCGACTAAACATTGATTAATCAAGGGCCTATGTATTCAAGTCACCCTACAAAGAGACATACCAAATTTCAAATTTCTAGCCAATATAATATAGGCTAACCCCAATTTTACTCACCGGCTTATTTGGGTATAGATCCACTAACTTGTGTGCCAAGTAAAATAATTCTGAAATTCATAAATTAGCAGGCCATTAATCTGAGCTGACCCATAGTTAAGGAGTAGCTCTGTACAAGAATTTGAGCATTTAGTGACCAGCTTCAGTACCCATGGTACAAACAACAATCTGTAAAAGATAGATTAATGAAAGCGACACATACATGGGGCCACATAGATAAATATCCCACTCGTTCATCTTATTCTTCTGACCTAAATCTATTGTGAGATAATTAATTAAAAGGTTAATGAGATATCTCGTAAAAAAAAAGCTTTTTGTTTCAAAAGTGGTCAGCAGGGACCTTTGACCATTCACCTTGACCACCACAGTCTACTATGGTGTAGATCCTAGTGTGATGGTGTTATAAAGTGAATCTGTCCCGTGGTTCATGAGGAATCTAGTACACAAGCTTTTTATTACAAAAGTCATTTGACCTTTTAACCTGGACCAATGACTTCTAAATAAATTGATATTGGTGCAGACTTTGGTGGGGTGATGTTATGATGTGAATATAATCCTAATCTGTCCATGTGTTCATGAGATATTCTGGTTAAATAGTTACAACTGACAAACCCACAAATAGACACCGTCACTCACGAGGATGCACAAAGTGATTACAAATTCCTTTACATAAGAGAAGGTGTAATGAGCAAGAGACTCATAGACTTACATAGAGGAGGTGGTTACTCTTCACAAAATATCAAATGGTTAAAAAATATATGTATATATAAATGACACAAACATTTCATCAATTTGGGGGAAATCATTGCCATTCCCAAAGGTTTCAGGCCAGATTGTGGTTGAAATGTGTACAGACATATGAGAAGAGAAGAATTTTATAGCTTCATTTTCCAATTTCCCTTCATAAACCTTGCCCTTTGACCCCTAGGATTCATACGACTATTATTTATATAAATTATGATTGCTCCCCTCCTCCCTTCGAATGATGTTTCTATTCAAACTTGGGTGAAATCTGTCTGAAATCTGTCTCAACATTTTAGAATTTAAAAATAGGATAAAGCCACAATTGGGCAGGTTGCGGGATGAGTGCAATGTTATATGGTATTTATAAGACAGTTAAGGGTGTTTCATTTGTTGAGTATGTAGAATATTTGTTATAAGACAGAAAGTTTGGTTGTGTTTTATGAATTGGTGCAGAAGAAGGGCATTTGAAGAAAGAAGTTGCAGTCATTTTTGATTCGGAGATGTTCAAAAAATAGACAATGGACATCTAGGGCCCCAAGGTGATTTATATGTGGAATTTCAGAAAGGTTCTTGTAATAGTTACTGCGAAGGTGTGATAACAAGAAAAGTTTAAGAAAATGACTAAGTTCCAAAGCCTGGAAAATAAAAAAAACAATCCGGAATGAATCCATAATAGAAGGTGCACATCTCCCACATATATATAATTATCCTACAAAGTTTCAAGCTTCTACGTCAAAATCTATAGGAAAAGTTGATTCTACAAATCTGGTACCCCTTTTCTCTGCCCACTCGCCCACCCACCATTCACCATACTATAACGCCGATTTGCACTATGTGCAACCCGGCCAAAAATATACAAGAGCCTTACTGAAGGTACTATTTCTCTTACCCAAGACACCTTAACCTCACACCAACACTTCAGTAACATCACAAGTGAACAATGCTAAGCAGTGAGATAACAGCAACATTTCACATATATAACCAGAAGGTAATAATAATAATTCACCTCAGGGAAAGCCATTAAGTTGGCATTCACACTGCATGCCTCCAATCGGTCAACTTAATAATCTTTCCCCTAGGGTTGAGATCCCCTTTTTGTCTATCCATCCCACAACTACTACATTCATAATGGTCATACTTCGCCAGTAAACACTCTACTACTCCAAAGCCAGAACATTATCAATGAAACACACAACAACATAATGTCTTCATCATTCTATATGAAATTGTGCACCTGTTATAAAGTTACAGTTGTCATGCATCATATGATAACATGTTCTAAGATTCATAAAAACAGTCGAAATTGTTTGTAATCCTTCTGTTTCTTGCTATTGGACTCCGAATAAATATGTATAACCTAAATATGAAATTTTCAAAATTCCTCTTCTGTGATGATGGTCGACCAGATATAAACCATTGTCTAACTTGTCTATTTGCCTGAAAATCATTCCATTGATGTCACTGGTTTTTACTAAGATTCAAGCTTCAATCTACATCTGTATTCTCATATTGACGGAGGCTGTCATTTGGAACAGATTCATTTATACTCATCAGAAAGGATGCTGATATAATACATCTTTAAATTTCAAGTACCTTTTAAGTTTTTTAATTCCACTAAAACAGCTATATGAAGAGGAAGACACTGGCTATTGTAGGGATCCTTGGAAAGCACCCTGCAAAAGAAAGTAAATTTACTTCAATGATTCAAATACAAGATTTTGAATCTCAGGTGATCTCTTTGAAACAAATGCAATGGTACCTTGTTGGTACATTTAACAGTTGTAGCTGTTATCATCTGATGTAATCATTAATAAAACAATACGAATTTATGAAACAAGGATATTGTTAAAAATTGGCTTTGGATTTCTGGGGTTAAAGGTATCAATATCTAGAGTCGAACCCTTGGACTTTGTAAACGGCTCTTGATAATTATATCTAGATTGATTAATTATAAAACATAAATTGCCTTGAATATATCTGTGTAAATCTAATTGTTTCATAACTAAACAAAAATACTTACATTGAAGTTATTTTATAACAATCTCTGAATTCACAATTATAATAATGTCGTTCTGCCAGGTTTACAACCACATCTAAGTTTTCCTTGAGGGCGCACAGAGAGTTGGGGAGTGATTGATTCTGGGGCTTATTATACTGAAATAAACAAGACAACATTTCTGAAAACTCAAAGCTTCTCTAAATTAAGATAAAAAAACTTTCACAGCGAACATTCTTAAATTCCCAAAACAACCTTATTGTATGATTTATTCAATAATGCCGTTTCCTTTTTCATATGCCATAATTATGAATAGTTATCAAAATGGACTAAAACATCACTTATGAATCAGCTTATTGGATTCTCTGATGTCTGTGTTAATTCCACAAAGCTTTCTCTGCATTTTTGCACTCTTCAGTATTATGTTTGTATATATTTTAGTGGAATTAACACAGATTCCTTAATTCAATATTTACTATTTTCACACCTGAAAGAATTATTTTGATAACAAACATTCACATTTTCTAGGACTGTATTATGAATTATACTACATATTATCAAATATATTTCAATCTACAAGTTCACTAGCAGTATAATAACCTAAGCCACAGGTATTATATATCATACAATGAACTGATACTGACAATAATATGCATTTCGACATGTAACTACAGGGAGACAACTCTGTTACACATTTGGTATTGCAGGACAAAATGGCTATATAGAGCTGTCTGCTTAAGGAGGAAAATAGAAAAGAAAAATAAACCGATGTATTTTTGTTAAGGAGATTTCTTCAATATTGTTTTTAATTTCCTACCTCTCTCATTCCCCTAAAATCATCATAAGAATCTCTAGCTCGCATTTTGTAAATAATGCAGTATTGTAGATATTATCTAAAAAAAAATTCTTCCTTTGTTGGATTTGCAAAATGTATACAGTCTAAAATATGTACAGAAACAAAACAGTCACATTTTGCGATTGTGATTACTAATGGTACTTTAAATCAGCTTTTACTTTGGTGCATTATTCATACATTTTTTTTTCTTTCTAATTATATCAAATTTAATGGCAACTGTGAATTTTTAATAAACATTAACATTTAATTATGGTAAAAATGATTAATTGCTTGATCACCTCGTCAATCTTTGTCAATTTCAATCAATCGGAACATGGTTTGTTATCACTTAAGTGACTGCTTCAATTTAGGTGCTGTCTTTTACTCTACAATGGTCTTTCCTTTCTATGAGTAGCATAAAACTGTACTTCAGGACACTGGAACTGGCTCAGCATGAATAATAAATTTCTTTTCATGAAAGTGTTCGTACTAATTTGATATGGACCAACCTTTTTAACTTTATTTTCATACAAAAATCTGACAAGTTCCACTTCCTCTTCTGGGCATTGCAATGCAAACGGTAATGAATCAATCAATTCTCTTTCTGAAATGGAATATAAATATAGTGTCAATTAAAGCTGTAGACTAATATCATCTCACATCAGTCATTACACTCACATCATCAAATAGGCACTCTTGTTACAGTACACCAATCCATGTGAATTCACATTCAGAATATTCAAGCTTGCAACAGAAGCAACATATGTGCTAAGGATATACTCAGTATTAAATTTAACAGCTTTCCGCTACAGTTAGTGTGCAAAAATTAAAAAAAAAAAAAAAAAAAATTTAAAAATGAAAAAACCCAGAAGCCACAGAAGGACATTACTAGTACTGAATTGTAACAGAAGTGTTCTTACCCTCCTGAGCTGACAACATGTGATGGTTGACAAGCAGATCAAACGCTTCAAAACAATACACATCCTGTCGTAGAGACTCTCGAAAACATTCCACTGCCAGGTTTCTGTTGTCCATGGCCTCGTAAATTTTACCACGTAGCAAGTTTATAGAATGCTCTATAGGCTACAGCAGAAATCAAAATCATAGTTATATTAAATGAAGCGAAATTTAACCACCATGAAATAGCCCAAACTTCAACAACTACATAATATCAGCCCTGCAATATTACACAAATATACTGTAAGTTCTCAATATCATTCCATGTATGATTGTCAAATTCCTACTTGTAAACCTGACATTTAACTTCTCATTTAAATTCAGGTAAAGTTAGATAAGATATATTTGTCTGATAAAACATACATGTAATTATGAAATACTTACCTCTTTATTGTTTGTATCGATGTGTGATTCACTATGACATGGTGCTGTAAAAGACCGTAGTTTGTTGTTGTCTACCATGTCTAAAATATTCAATGATTCTTGCCATTCTTTACATTCGTACTGAAAACAGACAGGAGTTAAACAATTTACAAATATCACACGTTATTTCACTTTGTATAAATCTATAAACCCATCCATGATACTCCAGGCGTTGCAATTCTTTTTGCTCTCTGCACCCCTGGAACATGTCATGGCACAAGCAAAGTAATTTGATTGGTTCCAGGAGTAAATACTGACCAACCACAGGCTGATATGCCCCTTTTGAAGGAGCGACACCCAAACTCAAAGCCATTAAAATACCTATACTTTCATGCGACCCCGAGATTCGTTTGATTACATCAAAGGATCAACCTAGTCTTTTAGTCTTGTTCACTAGGTGTCACAGATGGGTCCTTCAATTTTGCATGACATGGTCCAGGAGTGCAGAGAGTGAATAACCTAGAATATTGAAATTAAGCCAGCAATTGTGTCACTGAAAATGATTCATTGTCAAAAAATGTTTTATTAGTTTGACACAGCAATCTCCACTCCATCCCCTTGGTTCTCTTTACTTGTTTCTATTGATATATTCTGTGCTTATTTTACAATGAATGTTGTGATTCACACAAGAAATGCTCCGTCACACGCTGAACTCCTTATAAAATACATGAAAACACAAGTAAGATGGTCTTGAAAATAAGTCTATCTCCATGATTAATTAAAAATCTTTACTAATACAGATTAAAGACTAGAATGCATTCAATACAGTATATTTGCTTTTGAAAGTGTGTGAAATCTCTACTTTCAGTAATATTTGTAGGCTTTTTCTGATGAGCGTAAGGCAACATTTCCAAATTACAATGAGATATAAAGGCTCTTAAAATCTGAGAGAGTCTCACAGGAAAAGCATGAGTCCAAAACTCAAATATTTGAGTCCCAAAAACCACTGACTTCTGACATACATGTATAAAGCTAGTAATTAAGTAAAAACAAAATATGTACAGAGACCAGTTTGTTTGACTGAACCTTTAGAAATATGTTACAACAACATAACTTTCAGTACCCAATTTGTCCATAATTTATTAGTATCTAGTGAAAGATAAGCTGTTATGTATCCAATTTTGTCTTAACATTTCTTTTCTAACAGTGGTCCTCATTACTGATTTGAGAAACTCACAAAAATTGCTTCCAACCAGTAAGATAATAAGCATTTGTAGCTAATTTACATACAAAATTTATCCTGTTACCCAGAGAGCTTGAACAAAGCTTTAACTCAAAGTACATGTAATTAGGGAATGGGCTTAACATAGAACAATACAATAATTTGTTGGTATGTTAAATGAATTTCAATAGGCTTCTTACTAGGTAAGAGCTTATCTCTGGGTACATGTATAAATGGTTTACATGTACGTAGGTATGTATACTTACATGGCAAAGAGCTGCAAGGTATCGACATGCTGAATGTGTCTGGAAATTAAATGCAAAAAGTAATTAGCAATTCAATTATTTTATGTAATTCAATGACGTGATGTTATCTTCAGAATATTAAAAACAGTCAGTCAGCTTGAAAGAGCAACTCAAATATGTTGTTAAATGATACGATTAATTCTTAAATTAAACTTAAAAATATCTTTAGTGAGGCTAGATATTTTGAAAGCATGCAATCTTAAAGTCTGCTATGTACATAATAGTATACATTGCCCACTTATTTGATAAAAAGGAGCTGGTTAACAGTAAACCAGATAAATAGTAATAATGTTATGACCACTACATCCTATCTGACATCTGAAGGTCACATCACCTATCTTTTAATTCATAGCAACATGTAATATCAGTTCATGTGTAGATTTCTTTTTATAATCTATGCTGATATTTGCACTTGCCTTAACATGAAACCAATCATGAAAACTACAAAACAACATTATGAAAAGTACACAAATTTGTAACACAAGTGGTAAATGAATTTGGAAGCTCCAAGACTGACCTTGTCCAGTTTGGCTGTCCGTAACAGTTTTGAAGCCCGGTGGTACTGCCCGGTTAGATACAGTGTCTGAGCATACCAGTAAACATCCTCCACATCACCTGTTAAATAATGCCAGGAATATTACATGATAAACTTGATAGACAACACACACAATAAGATGTGATTTTGTTTTATTTTATATATTATTATATATATACATACCTAATAAAAACCTTAAATTCATATGAAATCTTTCTGGTTGTTTTATCTTTCCACATCTGACACCAAGTTTTACATACCATATACATTACAAACATTATTTTGACCAGTTAATTTTCTTCTTATACCATATGTATATTATATTATATTAGCATTCAATAAGTCTTACAGCAAAAATGTTAAATAAAAGCAAGAAACAATATTAATTTGTTATTTTGAATTTACTGAAGCTAGGATTTAGTAGACTACGATGTATATTATTGACACTGGTGTCCCCATGTGTACCTGATATATATCATTATTTAATAAGAGCACCTCTGGGTGGAAAAACATACGCCCATCCCATGCCCAAGAAATATACAGGATTGGCAGTATCAAAGACAAAACAAATACATGTATGATATTGGTTATAATGAATCAAACTGTCATGAGAGCCATATCTTTTAGTGATAAACAAAAAAATATACCCAGTTTTAAAGAGATGTGTGGAAATATAAAAGAAATCTCCGGATAAGGTTAAAATGCTGAAAAGAACAAAAAACATTAACTTTTGAGTTACTGTTGAATCAATAGGCTATTCAAGAAAACAAAATCTTATGATGAGATTTTTCTAGTCTAACAAGTTCCTGAGAAATTGATTAGAAATTGAGCGAGGTGACATTTGGAAAAGATAACAAGAATGAAAGAGGCCAATATTGCCTAAAATAAATTGCTCAACTACACTACAGCTTACATAGAAGACATTGGTTGGTTCATAAAGATATTTTCTGCAAAATTGAAATCAAATTTTATATACATGCACTGCGTAAATGCCATTACTTTGGACATTTTGCTTGTTGCTACAGACCCCAAATCAAGACCCTTGGCCTTTCGGTTAATGGGAAGATGTTGCTCACACATTTCAACACATTTGACCTCTGTGACCTTGAAAGTAGGTCAAAGTGAACAAACTTGGTTGTCCTTCATCTCAGCAGGCTAAAGGCCCAATATCAGTACCATGGACGTTTTGGTTATTGAGAAGAAGTCAGTAAAAGATTTTAACATATTTGACCCCTGTGACCTTGAAAGTGAGTCAAGGTCATTCATATTTCCCAACATGGTCACTTTACATACCAGCATGCTACAGGCCTAATATCAGCACCCTGTGACTTTTAATTATTGAGTAGAATTCAACTGAATATAAAGTTTACACACAGAGGATGGCAGACCACAACTGTGAAAAAAATTATATTTACTAGATGAAATTATTGAATAAGAAATGTACTTATCAAAACTTACACATAATGAAGTAGAATGATTTTTAAGAGATCAAGAACCACTATTTAAGAAAAGCAAAAGTGTGTTTTAGATTGAAATATCTTATTTTGAATCAATATATTACCATTTGAAAGAGATACAATCTTGTCAGCCCAGAAAAGTGCAGAGTCATAGTGGTGCTGAAAAAGAAATTTGAGTAAGACATATAAGTTTTAATTGCATTAATTGTAACATTTTTTACTGTCAATAAATGGAAATATAGTCATTTCATTTCTTTACTACTACGTTTTTTCCTTCTCATTTTGCAAGGAAGCACTGCTAAACTCAAGATTCCTTCTCGATATATCCTTTGCAAACAATTTTGATATATTTACATTTGTAGCTCCATACTAAGGTCCTACCTTATTTTTTCCTGACATGTTTAATAATTAGGCAAAAACACATAAATGATCTTACAAGGCCTGATAGCCAAACATTTTAAAAACATGCCAAGATTTAACAATCATGTTGTGCATAACTAATACTTCTGTAAAATAAAAAAGTAAGTTATCAGCTCTAACTGTTCTGTAAGCATCCTCTTCTCTACATGAATTGGAAGCACTACTGACCTAGCATATCAACACAGATCTGAAAAACAGATCAGACAGAATCCAATCTGTATCAACTTGTATTCCTGGTGAGTGCTACAAAGTGGATCGTGAATTTTAAATACAGCCTCAGATATTGAAATAAATGTAGCGCAGAAAATAAAGAATTATAGACAAAAATTGCTCTATATTAAATATAAAAATAAAACAATTTTATCATTAAATTAACCATTTTTAGATTGGTCAGTTACAGCTAATAGTGGTATTTGTTTTGTTGCTTTACATAGTGGATGTTGTCGATGAAGTAGAAGATGCTTACTCTTCTGGATTACCTGGTTTTATTTTTCTTGCTGACATGTTGGTATTTTCTTGTTATTTTTTTATATTGCAGGTCGATCAGCAGGCTGTTATGTCATTTACTTGACCAACCAGATTATTTCTCATAAGCTGTGTAAAACAACTGTTTTTAAAACAAATTTGCCACAACCTCATATGTGGGTAATAGTCCTGCATGTACCATCATATACCTAAGCAATTGATTAGATATTCAAATGCAGGATAATAGAAAATAGAAACACAAAATTCTTTTAAACTTTTGCTACAAAACAGAGTATATTATTTTTTTCTAATTTGATCCAATATCTAATAGGACATGACACTTTATATTAGGGCTGTCACGGGTACACAATTTTCGCCCCAGGGTCTATCATTGAAACCCAACCCGTACCTAGTTACCTGCAGTTTTAGTAACGAGATCACCACAAATTCATGGTATTAGATTAGTGATAATTGCTGACTTTTCAAGTGTAATCAGCTAACCAACATCATTTAGACTTACATAATAGTCTAGACGTTATTGGTTAAGTGGGGAAAATGACTACTACAAAGTATTTTCAGACTTTGTAGAGTTACAATTATCATAAGCTTCCATCAGGGAAGCCATGTTGTTTGGTTGACAATGGTTAGTTTGTGCACATGACTGGAACCAAATATACCATATTATCTCTGATAATGTAACATCAGAGTAGGATTACATATACCAAATGAGGATGCTGCGATGAAACTTAACATTTATTTGTAAGAGGCAAGTCAATCAGAAACTTGGAACGTACCTCCGTTCAAGGCATCTTGGATGTGTATGTATACCTTATATATATTGAGGAATCTGAGTGTTAGGTCAAGGCTGTGGTGCATTTCTCAGCCATGAGAAAGTGTCAACTGACAGTGCAACAAAGTAGTCATTCATACAGCAGATATATATGTTTATGTGCATATTAAACATTGTTTCTTTTCAACACACAGCCTACAAGAGTATAGAGGTACTTGGAAAAACATTTTATTGTGAACTAAACAATAGTACTAGGTAATATTGACTTGGGTAACCAGGAACACATGTTCCATCGGAATCAAAACTGACCCGAAACAGGTGACCCTAGTACTCGTTACAGCCCTACTTTATATCACTGCCATAAGAAACATTTAGTGTGAATGTCATATGTGAACATTCATAAACATTTACCCGTGTTCTATTTTCAGCCACACTATAAGCAATTAAGGAGATAAAGTTTGTAATTTTCACCAAGAGCTGAATGTCATTTTTTTGTGTATAAATGTACCAAGTTGCCTTGGTTATTGGGCTATGTTAAAAAGATGACTCCCTTTTTGTTGCACATGTACATGTCTAAAAAAAACATTTTGTGTTTTTGTTTCAAATAGTCCTGCATAAATAATAGAACACACTAAGCAGTACACAATACTGTAGTGTTTTTATTTCAAATTGACCTGCATGGCAAACAGAAGACTCCAAGCAGTACACAGTACAGTAACTACCACTCAAACTGATAAACGGATGTGTGACTTGTGTCGGTGTTCCTTTGTCATGTTACGTTGGACATTTGTTACATCCTGTGAAATCAAAGGACCGAACACACACTTTTAACTGTCAGATAAAACTAACTATAATATCATGCTTACACAAGTATGACCATCTGTACTAAATACTGCAACTTATCGAGAGGCTGAATAAAATCGGAAGATGTTTACATGAAGCAGCGGTTTTCGCGATAAAAGTCGTCATTGAACATATCGATCATATGATATACTTACTGTGTCTATATAATTTCGAACTTTTTCTCGCAATTTTGTAAGATCGAAGCTACAAACTGAGTTTTGCTTCTCGGCAGCTTCTGAATTTCCCCCTTCACCCGCCATGTTTTCCATTTAACCTATTTCCGGTTCCTGATATCCAATCAAATGTCCTGTGATAAAGTTTCTTTGGTGTAATGTTAGATTAAATACCATTGGCTTAGACCAGACCGCGTGGCTCATGGTAACGTTGACATAAACAATATGGAAGCGTAGAATGTTATGATTTGCCGAACTTCTGACATGTGAGTGAATATATACATCGAAGATAACTGCTGACTACACAGTTGTAAGTAACAAGTCAGACACAAATCCTTATTTCATACGAGTGAGTTATCACCATTAGTAATTAGAACTTTCCGAAATTGATGGTGGAAAAGTCAACTGTAAGATATCGCTTCTGTTAAAAGTCCGCTAAATCTAACCATTATCGATGGCTACAAAATTTTATCTAATCGTTTATGTTAATGGCACATGGTCAGAATCTTTGTATATGCGGTTACAACAAATTTAACCGGAATAGTTTTCGTTTTATATTAATGTTTGCATTTTGAGATCATTCTGTGAAGTTTCACATGAACTCCCAACATTTCCTCTAGTACATATAAGCCAGTTAGACTGTATATCAAACTTTTTCAATTCTTATCAAGCTATCAACTACTTGTTTCTCTCGCAAATGAATATGATACAATTATGGAATCAGGGGGGAAATACCAAAACAATAGTGCTTTTAAGTACGTATACAAGTACAAATGTACATTTATTTTACGCTTAATAACTTGCTTATATTCAGAAGTATAGTCCTTTACTTGCCATGTGCATGATTTAATTATGACAGCCAAGGCATTATTTTGTGACAGAGACTTGTTTCGCAAAATGATGCATCAAAGAATGACATTCTCCTGACTCTGGTTGTTGCATGTAAAAATAAGAGTATTTTTTCTGCTGTCTTTTGACACAACTTCTCAGTTGTGCACAATACATGACTGAAAATTACCTTTGCTTATACTGTTATTATTATAATGTCTAAATTTCAAATCATGGTTTCCTAAATTTATGCTCTCTAATAATTTGATTATTTTGGCAGACCATTCAGATCATTGTTTATGTTACATGCATTTAATGATAAGCATCATTTGCTAAATTTATGTTCATCCTATCGATAACTTTATTTGCTGGTATATTTGTGTCATGTTGGATATCTTGTTAATTTAGATTAAGTTTTCTTTTCTGTTTCAGGACATTATGTCATCTGATGACATCTATGCCGACCAGGCCAAGCATCTGGTAGATGAGGTCATTGATCATGCTATCAAAAGATTGGAAACCAGCCTTTCTCTGAATGAAAGGGAAAAAACTTTTGAATCAATTCGCATTTCATCAGAGGTCAATTCTAGGCAATCAACTTTTGTCAAAGACCAAAATTATGAAGTGAAAAATGTGAATTGGCTGACCATTGATGAATTCACTGTAGAAAAAGCAGAACAGAAGATCAATGAATTTATCAAGGTATTATCAACTGTAAATATTTCATTGATATCAGTTGTCAATTTCAAAACTTCTGATATTCAGTTTTAATCTAATGGAATTTAAAAAACAAAATTTTATCAGAAAAAATATTTCATTTATTGAGAAAATTTTATCAAAAAGAAAAACATATCTGTTCACTTTTCCAAATTTACTGCAACATTAGTATTAATTTAAACTCAGCCTTATTGATACTGAAGAAAATATCACTTGAAAATCCTTATCACTTTAAAAATTTAGGCATTGCAAATGACACAAATCTTTTACTGTACAATTTGTTTCCCTAGACCTGGCAATATGAGAACAGCTGGCAGTACTGTATAGATTTCCTCGGAGAGGACCCACATGATTTTGACGCACGGTACCGTTTCCGAGTCCGATGGAGCATTCCTACTCGAAGAAAACCCATTCCTCGTGCCACAGCTTGTGTATACTTTTCATTTGTTGTGTCAACTATTAAACCGAAAGTAAGTAATCTTAGGAGTTACAAGCTGCGATAGTTTGATTTACATCAGGTTGAAAATTCTAATCTATCCTCAGTTTTATCATTTTTCATTAATCTGACTGTTTCATACACTGCCCAATATTAGATATCAACTTTCCCCACTAAAATCTCTTCTTTAATCACTGTATAATTAACTATATTTCAAACTTTGATATATTACATTCTTGGGGTCAGGAAATTAAACATTAAAAATATTACAGAATAGTATTGTAACCCAGACAGAAAGTGAATATGATAGACCCTGTACCACACAATATTAGGTAATTTAAAATTCAAACACTACTCTTCTATAGCCATCGTTATACATTAAGTCATTAACAAGTGCTGACAAGATAGGCCCTTGGTCTCAATATCTCTATATCGAAGAGATAATTACACTATTATTCATAAACCCAAATTTCAAACAAATATTTTGAAATGAAGCAAAACTTATTTTAAGTTGACAAATCTATTTTTCAGTTGAGAAATTTTTCCTGATAATTAATTATTTTATATCAATTATCATTAATGGTATATATGTTTAATGGAAAGAAATTCTTTCAATGCCACATTTTTGTAATATTAGGTGTTTTTTTTTAGAAGTTTCTATATATTGATAGCATTTTTCTCAGAAGAAAATACATTTTGAGGTACATTTTTTTTTTCTGCGTAATTTGAAAGAACAAATCTAGTTTTTTTATGCATCTTTGAAATTGTAGGGAAATACTGGTCACCTCCCTTCATCTCTATTACTGCAAGTTCAATTTTCACTGACAGATTAATCATATTCAAAAAATTGCAAGAGTTTCAATATACACACATTTCAAAACAAGCGAGTCAAGGGTAAAGTCAAAACAAAGTGCCAAAGCTTTTTAGGAAGGCATTGTACAATGATTTGTGTTGGTTTTATTAACATAAATGAAATATGATTTTCAAATTATTTTTGACCCTATCAATAAACATTATTCAGCAAACATGCTGTTAAAGGAGTTAGTGCATCTCAATTTTCTGTATTACATTTTAACATTTAACAATAGTTCCCAGTGGGAACCAGGGGAGGCTTTATTTCTGTGTTGTGCCTATCAGTATTTCTGCTGTCCTGTACAGGCTCAATCTTCTATATTACTTGTCACTGAAAATTTATATACAGGATATGGGGCTGATCATCATGGTAAGGTGGTAAGGTGGTGTGCCATGTATCAAAAGTATGTCACTCTGTCCTACATTTTTGACTATGGACCTACACCAAAGAATTTTTTTTGTCCAGCCTCCATCTCTTACATTAACAGTGTAACTATAACTTCATACCTGGGGCATGAGATTAAGTAGGTGAGGTGGTGTGTCATGTTTCAAAAGTAGGTTACTCTGAAAAAATGATTGACATGGCTCTACCTCCTACACTACTTGCCACTGGAACTTCTAAATTCTGGAATGAGTTCACTTGCAGCACATTCTTGGCATAGATTTCAGATTTAGTAAGGGAATTGGTGATTCGCTGAATTGCATTGTTCAGACTGTTTTGGCTGTCTCCATTAACTCCCTATTTGGGTCCTACAACTTTGAGTCACCATCATTGATGACCAATCTTAGATGAAGAAAAATCAGTATTGTGTAGCTTTATTCATAATACAGGATATCTATTAGTATAATCAGTATACACAAGTACTGATAAGTTTGTATTGAAATATTCTATCCAATTTGATGTCTTTTTTATCCTTGTAATATTTAAATCAATGAACAATTCTCTTTCAGCATTTTCCTGTTGATGTTTTATTTGTCTTTGAAGGAAACAGACTTGTACACAAGTAAGTCAATTGGCTTAATCACCTGTTTTTAAATTTTTCACGTTATTTACTTCAATTAGATTACAATTATGTTAATTACCCACCGGTATCAATGAAATAATAATATTATTTAAACATAAAAGGTGTTTGAACACTCATGAAATAACACCTAGCAGACTTGACTGAAGTTTCCCATTCTTTAAATTGTGATGTCATGAAGTTTTGTGACAGTCTTAATAGTGCAATTTTTACAAAAGTTTGCAAAAGTTTTCAGTAATTTGTTAAACAATTCTACGTACATTTTCTTTCCATATAAGATTGATGAAACTCCTTAAATGTGTTATGAAATGGAAAAAAAACATTTTTAGATGCATTTCATCAATCTAACACAAAATGGAAACTCATCCTCAAATCCTGGATCTTTGATTGCTATACTTAAAATGTCAGTCTGTGGGTCTAAGTTTTTTTATTGATAAAAGATAATAAAGTCACATACCATAACAAATAACTCTGGTATATTCTCATTCATAATTCTTTAATTTATGCTATTAGGGTTTCTGTTGGTTCTTTTCATTTATACATGGTTATTGTCTAAGTGATGTGGTCAATTTTTGTTTTTGCAGGCCTGGAGAGAGTAGATTCCGTGAAAAATGGCTGAAAGACATTATAGAAAGTAAAGTGATGATGATGCAGATGGTTGAATTCTAAGAGAGAAAGCGCTTAATTTCTTTCAAAATCATTAACAGTGATCATGTTCAAACTTATGTAAAGACTCAGAAACAGTTGAAAATATGGTAATTGGTGAGCCAACAAAATCTGACTAGGGAAACAGAAGTTTTTTGGGTTGTCCCTCTTGGTATTGAGCTGAGGTTTTTTCCTCTACAAAGCAGATGTTACTTTTACAATTAAAAAAGTGAATTAATAACTACATATATACCATCCTGTAATTTCAAAATTAATGTCTGCTTCTTCAAAAAACATCAGTTAAGTCACTAGTGGAAAATCTATTAGATATGATACATTGTATTGTAAATAGTTGTGAATATATTGTATCAATTAAAAATGATACCCATACACTGTAGTGTATATGTTTACCAGTATCTTATTTATCTAAAGGGCTGTATTCCCACTATACAGTTATACTCAGGATCTGGTTGCTCAGATGTTAGTAAGCAATAATCTGTGGTTGGTGAAATATTAAAATTGATATGTCAATGTCGAAGACAAAAATTAATTAAAACTCTAAATTTATAAATTTGTCCTGTTTCAACAAATCTACGGCTGTGAAATGATAAATAATGTTTCTAATTTGGTTGGATTCATCTTTGAACATTGTCACTAACTATTGCTTATCTCAAACCAGCCTTTGAACAACTTGGACCATATGACAACCTTAATGAGAAAATATTGTACACTAAATGAATATGAAACATTCCAGACTTTCTGTGAAATATTTTAACAGGTTCCTTTTAATGTGGAAATCTTCTAATGTCCATCAACATCAACATCAGTAAACTCAGAAACTCATTATCAAAATTGTCCAGTCATTAGAGTAAGTTGTAAGTCTGGAATTAAAATTATTGACAGATTTGAAGATGATGATCTGAAAAAAAAATTTTAAGTCACACTTTTATATTATAATGACTCTCAGTTACATGACATACATATATATATGCTAGTCTATTTTGAAGTCATAGGTGTCACCACACAAAAATGTGGCTGGGATTATTACAGATTTATGTTTTGGTTATGTTAAATAAAATGTTCTTTTCAAGAATGTTGCACACATATATAAGTTATATGATAAACAGAATCTTTTTAAAATTGATTTCTATTCTGTATCAAATCTCATCAAAGTTTTTCAATTTACTCTACCCGATGATTCCCAGAAGTATCTTGGGTGAAATCTATTTCAATGCATATAGAATGGAAAATTAGCAAATATATTTTGTTATACCTCTACTATTTATTCTCTACACTTTCCTATTGTAAATAAAGTCTGAAAATCTCAGAACAATGGTTACCAGTCAACATCTCGATGTCACAGTTGTTACTGTTTAATACTTCCAGGTCGTTACTTGACAATATGCCTCATTTATATCTATCTATAAAGATTGGTATACTTAGTGTGAAGGGGAGGTAACTTATCTTTCCCTGAAATAAAGTCAAGAGGGACAATTTTTTCACGGAGTCGCACAATAAGTATGTTAATTTCGATTTCCATCTTATGAATTGACCGTTTCCAGATTTCAAAATCCCTGCTCCCCAACATATGGTGTTTACTATGTTGCAGATAATTCGATATTCAAGCACTTGTTTCCAATATCACAATTTCCAAGCAAGATGGCAATAACTGATAAAAAAGACTCACAACACACTTTCAAGAGATGCAAGTTGATAAAGAATATTGGAAAGTTTTATGGTCGTGATATTGATCTCACTGGAAAATATATCTATTTCTTGTTTCGTGCTTGTTAGTATAAATTGTGATCTCATTCACAAATATAACGTTACTTACTTTAAATGACAAAATTCAAAATTCCATCCATCATGAATATCGGATATAAATGTAACTCAAAATGTGCAACTAGGACAAAAACCCTATACACGTTTTTTAAGTAGATCACATCAACATGTTTTCAGAAATCGAAATAAACTTTAAAAATCCAAATGATGACCATTTCAAATATCCAATTAAATTCGGAATGTGGCTCGCACAACCAAGACCAATAGAGAGCATGTCCATCAAGTTTGTAGATACTATCTGCAGATCTTCCCGATAAGGTGTAACAAACAATATTTGTAAAAATTAAAACGTAAAAACAGCGAGTGGATGCCATCTTGAATACCAGTGTATATCGCAATCTGTCCACGTTTATGATATTTATACAGAAACTTGATGATTATAAAAATATTCTGACATGTATTCAAGGTAGAATATTTCAAGGGTTTTGAAAACGCTCGATGGAAACTTCTTTCCAACAACTACATGCCATAATGATGTTATTTGATCAGTAATACCTTACAGATAACAAAACTGTGACCATGCGGAAACAAAATTTTAAGCCCTAGAGTCTAGATGATCCACAAGTAGATTAGTTTCCTCGGAGTACTTCAGAGAATGTGACAAATGAAGTAACAGATTCAGTTTGTAAGAATGGTCAAACTTTATCGTGAATAACCAAATTTCCCATCATTATCGATTTAAAAATGTTGAAGTGAAAAAAAAAAAAAAAAAAAAAGAAAAAGAAGAGAAGTTGACTACTAAAAATGAATATGGCTTCCTTGCTCTACGCCCAGCGACAATAAAGTCTTATGGGGTCAAGCCGTGTCAGTAACGATACGCTTGGACATCATCATATATCAGATCAGCGTTAGGAAGATCAAGAACTTTGATATAATTAAAAGTCATCAATTGGGAGTGTTGGCACGATTTATTTAATGTATTTTTATTGTATATTTCAGTCCGGCGTAGAGGATCTTAAATGAACATGTGCTAGTAATAAACTGAACTTATATGATGGGTTAAGTCAGAGACGTATATATCATTATATGTATGTGGTTAAGTCCATTCGGCCCTTCATTCTTAAAAGAATTTCCAGCTCGAAATCGAAAATGAAATCAAAACACAGGTCAGCTCTCCTCGATCCTGATTTTATATACACACTTTAAGGTAGGTGCACTCTATGTTATTGTGTCTGTAGATAAAAAGTTCAATAACTTGATCCTTGTCTGCAAACAGTGTTACATTAGCTGTATACCAAAAAATCTAGGCTTTCTTGATAACGAAGGAAATCCCACCTACACATTATGCAATCTTTCAAAAGACAAAATGCTAGCTAATCATGTTTCGGTAAAACCATCATCTAAATTGCCTATTAATGATAAGGATACGGACCTCCCCCGTTTATAGTCCAGGATCCCTAAACTTCACAAGAATCCATATAAACAGCGTTTTATAGTTTGCTCGTGTAGCTGTTCAACCAAGCCTTTGTCTAAACTCCTCACCATTCTAAGTACTATCAAATCTGGGTTAAGTCTTATTGTGACACTGTTTACTCAAGAAATGGAATAAATAGTATGTGGATTTTGAAGAAATCTTAAGAGGTTTTGACCAATCTCCACCCTCTTCTAAAAATATTTCGTAAATTTAACGCCCAAATAAAAGAAGAAATATATGGAGGACGGAATTATAAAAATGTTTGAGGTTTTGGCTGACAACATCTTCGTCAAGTTTGGTGGCAAGATCACCCAACAGACTATTGGCATACTTATGGGAACCAACTTCGCCCCTCTGTTGGTTGACTTGCTTTTGTTTTCATACGAGGCTGAATTTATTGAAGAGATTACCAAAACAAGCCACAGAGATCTTGCAATATCGTTTAATTTCACTTTCAGATATATTGATGACGTCTTGTCTTTAGATATCATGAAATTCTACAACGAAACCAGCATGGACAGCTTTCTATCAACTTGTATGAATCACGTGATGATTTCAATTTCTCTATTATGAATTTTACATTTCTGGATAGCAATATCCTTGCATCTCCAACCTGTGGTATTTACATGTCGCAGTTGATTGGATATTCAAGGGCATGTTCCCATTATCACGATTTTCGTGCAAGAAGTCGTCAACTGACTGACAAAATCGTAACACAAAGATTCAAAAATGCAGATTGATGAAAATTATTTGAAAGTTTTATGGTCGCAATAGTGATCCCATTGAGAAATATCCTATTTCTTTGTGCGACATGAAGCTGGAGGTATTTGATGTTTGTTAGTTGACTTGTTAGTTCCGTTGTTGTATATCTTGTTCTCATTTGAGATTTGGATTGACCAAGGCTTACATGGCGGGTGTCGTCGATAAAGCAGAAAACGCTTACTCTTCTGGAACACCTGGTCTTATTCTCCATGTACTGTTTCAGGAGTGTTCGTATAGATCTTCCTTTTGTTCATAATTTGCCCAATGTTTATGGAATCTGAATTTGAATCATAATAACGCCATATGTCATAAACCAATTTCACTTATTTCCTGGATTCTTTGAAACAACCCAATAATGTTTTTCAGAATAGGTTTATCATCATAAACGTTAAATATCTTACTAAAATCTGCACAGTCGATCAATATGTCTTTTATAATTATGTATTTTATATATTCATCATAAAACAGACCCAAAATATTGTTCCCACTTATTTTCTCTATTTTTCTCTGATCGTAATATTTGAGGCAATTTCGGGTTGATAAGCATAAAATTTATTGTTGATGTCTTAAGACCATTTTCGTCGCCAGTTAGATTTTATATCACTATAAACATAAGATTTTAAAGCTGGACAAGTAACTGCAAAGCATGTCAATATCTCCCGCACCCTGCTGTTAGCATACACATCCAGACAGATATACCTTAAAGTAAGAGTTAATATCCTCAGCCTTCACTGTTGATGTTTTGTGCGTGTTGGTATATCATTTTTACAGTTTTTGAGGCACAGCTCAGAAAAGCACGTAAACAACAAAATTTGTGACCGGGAATATATATATATATATATATATATATAATATCTATAAACACTGACAAATGTGAAATCTTGTTAATAGTGAAAGACACAACGAGATCACTGCCCAGAAATAATGTACATTAAATTGATGTCAAGCTGTAGCCTGTAAAAGCTTGTAAACACTATTGTTTTAATTTCTAATATTGTTTCCATGGTAACAGATAAAATATTGAAAATGCAATCTTGCCAGAAGCAAAAGGCGACACAACAAAGACACATGTCAGAAATGTAGAGTATGGTATCGAAAGCCGTATGGGAACCCTGGCCCCGTTCATGATTTTATTTAGTGAGAATTACGGTACGAAATAACTACGGTATATAAAAAGCCGTGCAAGACAGACAGACAGATTTACCTTTAAAGATTCGCCGTTAAAGATTTCATACGGCCTTCCATAGTGTACGATTTCCAAAAAGTTGTAGTAAATAGTCGATTTCGAATGCATTTGTTTCCATGGTGACCGAGAAAATATCGAAAATGAAATATTGCCCATAGCAAAAGCACAAATAAGACACTATCCTGATATATAT